GTGGGGGTGGGTAGAGAAGAGGCAGTGTCACAAGGCCCTGCTAAATTTGGAAACTTTGTGGCTAGGAGCCAACTGACTAACTGGGACAGATGGATTCCTCCAGAGAGGTTTTCCCAAAGCCCGCCTGGGCGGTAGTTTGCCTATTTCAGGACGGGTTCGGGGCTAATGTTTACTACTGTTCTTTCTTTTTCCATTCTTTACCCTGTGTCTCCTAACACCGATCAGGAACCCCCCAACCCCCCAAACGAAGTGGTAGTTGAGACATTTTTGTGTTTTTGAAAGTTCCCTGCTTTTTACATTTGAGTGCTTTGGAAGGAAAAAGCACAAAACACTTTCAACTCAAACGTCCCAAATCGGTGAAATGTAATTTTTAAGCAAGGAGCTGTACTTGTCATTTACCTGTACTTCTCATTTACCTCATCTCCTGTGTTAAGAGTGCTGCACAGAGGTAGAAGATGATGGTGCAAAAATAATCTTTTCCTCCCCATTTACCGATCCAATGGGCAAAATCACTGTTTCAAATAACCAAGACACTTAGATCATAAAATTTAAACTCTGGGAAGCACCTCTGGAGCTTGCCTTCCTGTTTCGATGAAGGACTCAAAAGGTTGTGGTAAGAGTCTTATAACCAAAAGCATACAATCCATGCACAAGTGTTGCAAAACAGAGACAAAGAAAAGGAGCGAGCACCGTGGTAATTCTAATTTCACAACTATGGGATAATAGCTATAATCTTTTCCCTAATACTTCTTCCTTTTTTTCTGTTTCTCCCTCTTCCCTTTTTTCCCCATACATTTGTGTACACGTGCACACACACACACATGCACACGCACACGCACACAAACACACATGAACTAGTCTTTTTTTAAAAAAACAAAAATGACATACTATCTGTAACCTGTTTCTTCCCTGATTTACAGTACACGAATGAACATATTTCCAGGCCATTATCTGCAACGATTAAAAAAAAAAAAAAAATCAAGGGAGGAAAAGCCTATGCCTCGCTTGCTAGTCTGCATTGAAGCTTATGTTAAAAGAGAGGAACCAAACAGACTGAGAGATCAATCAATCCAATGTCACCGTGTGCATCTTCTCTTTCTCAAGAACAGAAAGGGGACAGAGGACCCTGGGAGAGAGGAGCGATTGCACAGGGAGCCCTCAGCAGGGCAGCTGTTCACGTTGCCATGTTGTTTTGCAGTTCAGCACTGGAGGAGACAAACCAGCCATCTGGCTAGACGCTGGGATCCATGCTCGAGAGTGGGTTACACAAGCTACTGCACTGTGGACAGCAAATAAGGTCATTTTGCCTAAAATTCCTCACATGCTTTGTCTTTTGGGAATCAGTCTCACTAACCAAGCACACAACAGCTCCCGTGGGCTTCATGCAGATACTCTCAGCCAAATCCTTCCCTTCTTACTACACCGGCAGGAAACAGACTCGGCCAAGCTTTTTTTTCTTTTGGTATTACCCCATTGTGGCACTAGGCCCTCTGTTAAAAGACACAGCAACCAGAAGAGATGGAGAGGGTGGCAAGCAAGGCCTCCTGGGTGTCAAGTTTCAGTGTTAAGAACACGAAAGAAAAATTGCCTTGCTGCTTGGTACTTTGAGGGTTGAGGCATAATGTGCTAGTAATTTATAAAATCTTGAAAGGGGCTCAGAGTGAAAACAGAAACAGGTGCAGGATGAGTTGACTTTGACCTACAGATCCGAAGTGAAATCAGCTAAGGATGTTTGGATTGCTCTGAATAGTTCCCAAATCTGATTTTGAAGGCAGGATGTAGCAATCTTTCTCCACCACATGTTGGCTGGCATGAGAGTCAGGACATGGGGCTGGGTGTGTCCTAGTCTGGTATTTCTTAAGTAATTCCAAAATGACATGCTATAAATCAGAATGTTAATTCATGAGCAAAGGAAATCAATCCACATCTGATCATTCAAGCATGTGCAACCACGTGCATGCGGACTGATACATTTTCCCCTTCAATTAAAATGCGGTTACCTTTAGGGTATTATGAAATGGATATTTAACAGTTGAATAATAATGCCTCAGGATGGCTGAGCACAGGAAATGAATAAATTTTAATCCAGCAGAAACTTCAACTCCACTGCAATTGATTGCAAGTAAAAATGTAATTCCCCAAATGGAATTTAACTGGTTCTCCCTATCTGTAGCTAAGTCCCTGCATATTTAAATAATCTGATGTTGGCACTGAGTTCTTTGGGAACCCTATGTGAGGATTAAGAAATATCAAAAAAAATTTTTTTTGCTTCATAGATCCAAATAAGCAATACATACATTTCAGAAAGCCTTGTTGGAATTAACAGTGAGAGTGTTGCTGCTTTTAAGAGAGATTGGTTATGTGATAACATGTTTACTTAGTAAATTATTGTGACCACAAATGAAAGTTAAAAGCATTGGCATACCAAACACATTAATACTGCAGAGACTGTCCTGCAGGGAACTTGAAAGATTCTCATTGATCCAAAGTGATCCCTAATACACGTGGAAAAAAATAAAACCAACGTGTTGCTTTAATATTCTATGCTGTGTTCTGAAAAAGGAGGTTGTGAGGTTGAAAACTCCATGTCTTTACTTAGATTGTGTCTGATTATGGAAAAGATCCATCCATCACTTCCCTTCTGGAAACCATGGACATCTTCCTGCTACCTGTCACAAACCCCGATGGATATGCATTTTCTCAAACCTCCGTAAGCTTGTTTTGTTTTTTTTTCCTTCCTCTTCTTCCACAGGATATAAGGAGATGTATAGGAGCTTAGAAAACCAAACAAAAGTAGTCTTTCTGTTTTTGATTCACTCTAAACAGAAGGCATAATCTCTCAGTAGTGGTCCTGAAATGAGACATGGAGACGTGTTTATAATCACTTCTTATTCCAACACATGATGTCTTTACATGTCAACTCAGCCAGAGCCCATTTCAGCTGTTCAGCTGGGCTATTAGAGTGCAGTGTTAGCTGTGAGTCACCTAGGAGATTTGTTCCAATTATCTCTGCTTTTTTTTGTATGTGTATGTGGTGGTGGGATTGATAGAAAAGAGGAGGCGGATGTTACCTGCTGACAACTAGATTGCAGCAGGATTTAGGTAGGCAGTACAATGCATTCTAGCATTTTACTTACAATTTGTAGAAGAAATTCTCAGTAATATCACTAAAAGGAGTTAGACAGGCTTTTTCCCCACTTTAAAATCCAATTACAAAAACACCATTGTGACAATCATGACCTGATGTACATTCAGAATGAATCAGAGCTTCAAGTTTATTTTTGTAGAGAGCTGATGACAATGACAATGACAGTAGCACTTTCAAAGAAACACACTAACACTCCAATGAGATACCAAGTGAAAAAAGGGTCCCACAGGCAAGCCAGAGAAATACTGCCTATGAGCTCCAGCTCAGAGGTTCATAAAAAACATTGAAGCATTAAACAAAACACCTTTGGCAGTTCTGTAGTGAGGTTACCAACGTAATCCCATATTTCCCCAAAATATCCTATCAAAAATTTCACCTCACTCCGTTTATTGCGGTAGTTGCTAGCATTTAGCAGAATAGTGTTTTATAGAACATGGTTTGGCAGGCATTTATCTGAGATGAAGAAATATACAAAGTGAGTCCTGTGTCAGGACCATTTGACACCTTTGGGTAAAAGAAATGTGTGCTTTTCCAAAGAGGCCTTTTGGGGAGCCAGCAAGAAACAGGTTTCACACAAAAAGGACCCACTCAGAGGGAGCAAGAGACAGGTTCTGCATGGGAAAGGGACCTGCTCATCTAAAGGAATGACCACCTTTTCTTTTTTCCATATTCATTTTTGGTTGAATTTTCAAAGAATCGTATGTGGCGCAAGACCCGGTCCACACTATCTGGAAGCCTCTGTGTAGGTGTGGATCCTAACCGGAACTGGGATGCAAATTTCGGAGGTGAGGACAAGGACTTGCCTCTGGGATGGTCAGACTGTGGTCTGGCCCACTAACTGGTTTACAGGGCTCTGCAGTGCTTCAGCCTGCTAAGCCCATTTAGGATTCCAGCCATTTAAAAACCTCTTTGGAAAAACACTTCACTAAATTCACGGGAGCGCGGAGCTGTCACAGAGCTCCGAGCAGCATTTAATATATTTTGCCTCACATCTTGGTTTTCCCACAAGCTGTAGCACGGTTCAGCCTTGGAGCCGAAGAAGCCAGACTTTGCACAATGGTGGGAGCCGAGAAAGCGCTGAATCAACCACTAGAGGGGGTTAGGACCTATTAGGAAGAGAAGCATTACATCATCTGTGGATGCTTCGAGAAGGAAAACTTAAAAAAAAAAAAAAAAAAGAACAACTGGGATTAAGAAATTGATTTTCGAAATAGAGTCAAAGATAAAATGTTAGCTTGCTCATCTGGTTTTGTTGACTTGTAACTTTTCTCTTTTCTGTTTGGGGATTCAGTGGCTGGCCACTTGGAGAGTCTTTTATCCTTGAAGGGACCAGTTAAACCTCTATGTTTCACTAATCACAGAATTGAATTTTTTCCCCCTACGGTCTTTCAATGACAGTGTATTAGTTACTTTTGTCATTGCTGTAACCAAATATGTGACAAGAAGCATCTTAGGGGAAGAAGGGCTCATTTTGGCTGGAAGTTTGGAGGTACAGGGCAGGGAAGGTATGGGGGTGGGAGCAGGAGGAGCCGTTACTTGTGCTAGGCTGGCTCCTTTTTCTTTCAGAGACTTCAGCCTGTGGGATGGTGCTAACCACATTCAGGGTTTAAGGTGGGTTCTCCCTTCTCAGTTAAAGACCTAGAGGCTTTAACTGCAGTTAAAGACCTTTCCAGTCAAGCTGACAAGGAAGACCACAGACAGAGGTTGGGTGCTGTGTCATTTTCACTGTGCTATTCCTAACATCCAGCATGCAGTCGGCAACACAGACAAGCAGTCATTAAATATTTGTAAACCAAATGAATTACTGAGAGTTATGGAACTGAGACAGGACACACTAGGGGATTGTGATGGGTTATGCCTGAGTGATAACTTCATTCATTGCTTTTACAATTTATTCTTATTTTTTTGCATACAGAAAAATAATCAAAACACCAGGCTCTAAATATTGAACAGTATCCAGAAATTTGATGCCATCTTCCCCTGGAAATGTTATTCTTAAATAATTTTAACATAAGTTGGCAGAAGTTTATTTACATTTTGCCCATTTCACTTAACCTGGGAAATCTCAAACTTCCACCTGTTCTCTAAGAGGTCCTGAAGCATTCAAAGCCCCCACTAGGCCTGTAATGACCCCATTTCAGTGGTTTTGAGCAACCCTGATTGCTGAGAGGAGCAAGGCCAGAGATGGCCTTGTCGAGTGTTGTGATTTCTTCACCACAGAAAGGGTGTCAGAGGTGCCTTATGTTTATGGCTTTGTGACTTGGAAATACAGATGCACAGAAACTTTTCGACTCTATGAATTGGAAGAGAGCCCAGAAAGTGAACTTGCTAAACTCCCACCCAGTGCAGGAATTCTATGTATAATATTAAATCTAGCGTTTCTTCCAACAACTCCCGCAGAAAGATGATCTAATTTGATAGCTCTTTCTCCCATATAGAGGAACCATATTTTTAAGAGATGTGTCCAGAATTACTTCAGTTACGCTCCCTGAATATGCCCTTATAGGACGAAGCTTGATCTAACACAATGATGAGTTTGCTCTCATTTCTATAGGAGGAACTTAGTGGTGTATGTGGTACCCTCCTCCCTACAGAGTCATCTTAAAGTTTCTGTCCTCACTGGGCTTCTTCTGCATCTCACCAGGACCTGGAGCCAGTAGCAACCCTTGTTCTGAATCGTACCATGGACCCAGGGCCAACTCTGAAGTTGAAGTGCAGTCCATAGTGGACTTCATCAAAAGGCATGGGAAAGTCAAAGCTTTCATTACGCTCCACAGCTATTCCCAACTGCTCATGTTCCCCTATGGATATAAATGTACCAATCCAGAAAACTTTGATGAGCTGGTGAGTTTCTAAATTTTTATTTCGAGCCCAACAATAACTTCTATTGTGTGGACAAGTTCCATTCATAAAGTTAGGTGCTGAGATGGGGTATATGAATACAATGAACATTAAGTCCATCTTAAATTAAGGTTTTTTGGTAAATGGGATTAATAAAATGATTGATGAGCAGGAACCTGCTTTTTTTTTTTTTTTTTTAAGACAAAATCTTACTTTGTAGCTTAGTCCGGACTGACTGCAAAGTTATGATCCTCCTGCCTGCCTCAGCCTCTTGAGTGCTTGGATTCCAACAGGTGTGTACCACCATGCCTGGTTTCAGGTGCTGCCCTCAGCATGAATTCCCAGGGTGTTTCTGTTGCTTAGAGGAAAAAGGATCATTTGGATGAGGATCTGAGGCTCTTGGACAGGTGGACAGATGGCTCTGTGTGAAGTGGTGCTGTTCCCTATAACTCACTTATTATTGTCTTGGGGTCTGTGACTGCCATGGCTGTGCACTGGTATATGATGACACTTTCTACTCTCACCCAGTTCCTTCTGTCATCTTTACTGTTTCAGGAATAAACAAATTGAATGTAGCCTTGGGTCAGATGGTGACATCTCGGGAAGCTTTTCACAATTGAGCAACAGCTATCTCCAGCTGAAGGGAATGTGCAAATATTTCCAATTTGGCTTTTAGGCTTGATTTTGAAACCCATATGCAGGGATAAGCCTGGAATCAGGACCTTTTAGACAATTTCCCTTCAAATAGATTTTTGTCAGAATCCGACAGAAACGGAATAAGTGATTCCAGTTCAAATGTATCTTTCATCTTATCTGTTGGATTTTAGACTTGTTCTGACAGTTTTCAGGGTTTGAGGGTACTTATTACCAAAGTCATGTCGGGGGAAAAAAAAAGTCAAGGTTGAAAGGAACCTGAAATGTACCGGCCCCCACTGGTTTTTAAATGCATTTTTTAAAAAATTTTTAAAAATTAGCATACAAAATATTAGGTTTCATTATGACATTTTCAAACAAAATTAGTTTTTGTCAATTCTTGCTGCCCATGCTTCTCCATCCCCTGCCCCCCCTTGTACCCTTTCCTTAGACTCCTTTCTGCTTTCATGTAATATGTCCTTTGCCCCCACAGCACCTCCTGCAACACCTACTTCCCCTCTTGTGGTCTCTTCTAGTTTCACAGGCTGTACCCTCACTTAGATAACCTTCAGTTATCTAAACAGGACACTCAAGTCTCTGAGATAGTTATGCAGCCTGCAGATTAGATTTGGTTGTCTTTGCCTGTTCCATGAAGGGGAGAAGTTTGATGGTTAAAGTTTTTCCATATAAAAAAGCTCAAACCTTGTCTCTGTGTTTTTTAGCCTCCCAACCCTGCTTTTATCATGTGGCTATACTGAACAAGTTTATCTCTGTTTGGGAAGTGAATCTATGAATGAAAGACTAGACACCTGTTCATCCTAGGACTTCCCTTACCCCTCTGGAATGGCGCTAAGTTTTTTGAGACAGGGTCTCCCTGTAGCCCCAGCTGGCCTGGAACTCATGTAGACCAGACTGGCCTTGAACTCACAGAGATCCACCTGCCTCTGCCTCTCGAGTGCTGGGATTAAAGGTGTGTGCCACCATGCCCAGACACTCTTAAGATTTTTTTGGATTCAACAATAAGGGACAAAGTTTCCTCCTCATTCCTCTGTTTTCTGAATAAGCTTTGGCTGTCTGTGTGCCCCCAAGAGTGCCCCCAAAGTGAATACAATATTTGTGGGTTAACCAGGATGGAGGAGAGTGTGGTCATAGCTACTGTCCTACCGACCATGTACTTCTGTAAATGCACTTGAGGGTCACATTAGATTTTTGGCTGTAGTGCTGGGGATGTTGACTCATGTTAGGCTCATTGACAACTGAAACCCTCAGGCTCTCTGAGGCTTCAGCCAAGCCAGGTTTCCCCCATCTGGTAATTTTACGTTTGTTTTCTTGGACCCAAGTTCAAGACCTTACATTTATCCTTAGCAAGGACAGTAAAGCCTCAATCAGTCAAAATTGGAACCCTTGAGTAATGGAAAATATTTTGCTGAGCTCTGCTTCTTGGAAAAAGAGACAATCACAGGGAAATGAGCCAGCGTAGGGATGCAGAGAAACAAAAAAACAAAACCAAAAAAACTTCCCAGGTACATCCTAGGGTCAGTACATGTTCTCTTTAGCCCCTTATACCCACTCTATTTTCTAAATTTTTAAAATTACGTTTATTTATTTATTTTGTGTCTGTGTGTTATATGCCCCCCCACCCCCGCCCCTGGCCTGCACATGCTAGAGCATGTGTATGGAGGTCAAGGGACAGCTTGCAGGAGTGAGTGCTCTCCTTCTATCATGTGGGTCACCAAGATCAAGTTCAGGTCCTCAGACTTGGCAGTAAGCACCTTTAGCCACTGAGCCATCCCTCTGACCCCTGCCCCTCACTCTCACCTATACTTATGAACAGAGAGAGCTAGTGGCAAAATAAAAAAAACTTCAAAGTCTTGGGGATAGTGAGATGATAAAACAAGGAATACTTCATGTTGTATTTCCTTTTTTTATAAAAAAATTTTATTTGTTATTTTTATGTGTATGTATGTGTTGTCTGCATGTAGGTAAGTGCACCCATGTTGTGCAGTGCCCATGGAGGTCAGAAGAGGCTGTTGGATCCCTGGGACTGGAGTTACAGACAGCTGTTAGCTGCCATGTGGGTGCTGGGATTCGAACCCTGGTCTTCTGCAAGAACAACCAGTGTTCTTAACCGCTGAGCCATCTCTCCAGCCCCCATGTTGTATTTTTAAAGTCAATAGAAGCACACTTGTACTTACTTCTCAGTGAAAATGATTGAGGGAAAAAGAATGTTTCTGTCTCAGTTAATGAGGGAGTCTAAATTGGCCAGACCTTCCTAGACTATATTCTTCTACTGGACAGTGGTTTTTCAGGAGACAAGTTTTATCCATTCACTTTTCTTTGGTTCTCTTCCTCTAGGATAAAGTGGGCCAGAAGGCTGCCCAGTCTTTGAAAAGTCTGCATGGCACTAATTACCAAGTAGGATCAATCTGCTCTGTCATTTGTAAGTATCTAATGTGCTAGAAGTTTGTACAGATGACCTACTAAGCAAGCAAGCACCATGTGAGTTTGGGCTAAGGCTTTAAAATGACCTGATATGAAAGGGCTAGGCCTTCCTGTGTAGAACCCAGCCTTACTCAGTTTCCCTCAGTATTCCAGGCTGCCACATGAAATCCTTAGTATGAACAGGAAAGGACTTCCTAGATATGTGAGTTTTGTGCGCTCTCTGAGATTTGTTTGGAGGCTTACATCTCACTGTCATCATGTAAAATCTCTGTGCCTAAAAATGAGCCTTTGTCAAGACTTACTCCAAAAATCATGTTCTTTTATTAATCTCATCTTTCCTGGCTAAGAGGGGTTTATACCTTGAGTAACCCCATAAACTGTGGATGAGGAAAGAATGATATAGCTCCTTAAGAGGACCTAGTTAGGGACTGGGGGATTAGTTTACCAGTAGAGCATATAGTTTGCTGGTAGGCCTTAGCATACGCAAGGCCCTGGGTTCAGTCTTCTGCACCAAAAAACCCAAACCAAACCAAACCAAATCATAACAGAAAACCCTGGATGGTTCAGTGGAAAGACACTGTGTATGTACTTAATGGGGGAATGGTGGGGGGATGAGTCAGGAATAACTCTAGGGGCTTACTGTCAGATTTTATGAGAGTCTTCTCAGTGGGCTGAAGTAAAAACAAGAAGCTAGTGTTGTGCTCTGGGAAATTCTAGTGCACCCTCATGCAGAGTCTGAATCTTTCAAATGTCCTTTCCATATTGATAAAGCTAGAAACTCAAGACTGTACAGTTGAGTGTCCAGTTGCAGTGTTCCTATGTTCAAGGATCCTTTGGAAACTGGTAGAGCATGTGCCTCAAATAGATACATATTCTACTCAACAGGCTTTCATTAAACACCTACTATGTGCTAAGCATGATAACTGGTTTGAAAATACAAGAAATCTACCAAGAGCTTACTTACATTTTTTTTGTACTCATTTATTTTTTTGTATGTGTTTATACATGCATGTATGGAGGACAGAGGACACCTTGGTGGGAGTCAGGTCTCTCCTTCCACCAAAGAGAATCAAACTTGCCTGGTGGCAAGTGTCATTATCCACTGAGCCGTCTTACCAGAACTCACTTTTTTTTTTTTTTTTTTTTTTTTTTTTTTTTTTGAACAGGGGCCCCCCCCAGCTGGCCTGGAACTCACCATGTAGACCAGGCTGGCCTTGATCTCACAGCAATTCACCTGCCTCTTCCTTCCGGAGTGCTGGGATTGAAGGTGTGCTCTACCATGCTGGGTCTCCAGAATTCACTTTTAAGAGATGAACAGAGTTCAAAGGAACATTAGTATAAGTGTGCCATATCATGGTGCAAAAGTATTATAAAGTTGGGGTAGGGGATTTGACAATTGATCATCAAATAGTAGAGAAGGAAGACAGGACAAGATAGTCTGATTAGTCAAATCCAAAGCTATAGACATATCAAATTGCATGAAGGGCTCTAGCAACTGCAAGTATGCTTGGGATTGCTGGGTGGAAAATATAAGAAAGGAAGCCAGGGGTTATAAGTGTTTGTGTGCTATGTTAAGGGCTTTGAGTTCAACTCAAAGGATTCTGGAAGCCATTGAGGAGTTTTCAGCAGGATAGTTGGTGAGTTGAGGCATTGTGTGGAGATAAAACATGTTAGCAACAGTATGGAGGCTGCAGTGGTAATGGCCTGGAAATATGGACATGTCCCAGCAGGAGCAGGAGGAGTTAGGTGAGACATGATGGCTCAAGCTTGGGCCAGCTGGTGAGCACTGACAGGATCTGGAAGATAAAGCCATTGGCGCCTGTCGTTTATCAGATGTGCAGAGTCTCTCACTGAAGATTTACTGGGTTGTGCTATTCACCAAGAGGGACATTGAGGATGGTGAAAGGGGATTGGCTGGAAAGATACTGAGTTTGGCTGTAGAAATTTGGAGCTTGAGATGCTTGTAGGGTATGCAAGTGGAGTTGTTCTGCAGGCTTTATGTGACACGGCCCTGGGATTTTGCAAAGAAGAAGGGAGAGATGGAAGCAGAGAAGGAGGAAGGAAAGAGAGAGAATTAGAGGGAGAGAGATATTTAGGAAGAGTTGATGTAGAAAGGGTGGTTGAAACAGGAAGACAGAGAGATATTTGGTATAGTAAGACCCTTGAGAGGAGGGAGGAACACGGTGTTAGGCAGCAGGGGGCTAAGCAGAGCAGCTGAGAACCTTGGATTTCAGAAACCAGGAAAAGAGCAATCATTAAAAAGGAGGCAGTAGTTAAAATGATCAAGTCTGTGTAAAGGTCAACTCAGAGGAAAGAACATTTTCCATTGAATTTTCATCACCAATATTCACTGGTGGCCTTAATAAACCAGAGCAGTTACAGAGTGGGTGAGAGAAGGGGATGGAGAAAAAGGAAGACTTTTTTTTTGGTCTTTTTGAGACAGGGTCTCCCTTAGCCACAGGCACAGTGGGCCTGGAACTCACTATGTAGACCAGACTGGCCTTGAACTCACAAAGATTAAAGGTGTGTGCCACCACACCTGGCAAAGAAGACTTTTTTTTTTTTTAAAAG